CAGTATTAATATTATGTGTTGGTTAAAAGTGGTCAGATATTTTAGACATGTCACTACTAACTGCTGTAACTGCTACTATTATGGTTTCAAGAAAATAGTAAGTAGGTACTTGGGTTAGTCTTTGTTTGTTAGAGTGATGCCAGATTGAAAAAATAAGTAAGTGAGAAATGATTCTCATGGCAAATTTGTTCAATTTCACGGACCTGATCACCTGGTATAATTCACCACTACAGGCTTTGCATGTGGCAGACACTTCTATTTACAGCTATATATGGTATACAAAAATTAACTGCGTATATTTTAAGGGGCGAACAAGCATTCAAAACGTTCGTTACTAAAATAACCCGTTTTCTCTCTGGTTGGCCGGTAGAAATTGCCGCGTGGCATGAGGCCCGCTCGCTGTTTATTCGTAACCGGTTACGAAACAGTGATTAAAAGGTGTTTTTTCGTAGCTAGTTACAAAATTCTGGTTACGAAAGTGCACGAAGGGTCGCCGACATGGCATACCTAAGTAAGTCGACATGGCTGGCAGAAACAAACCGTAGCTGCATCTTAGCGAGCCATTCATTGGTATTTGTCCAAGCATTCATACCATTGCATCGATTTTACCTAAATTACTTCATTTCAAATGCATGCCTACTGAAAACAGTCGCAAGATGTGCACTGTACATTGTAGTTCATTCACATCATCACAAGCCTTTTTGTACTTATATTTTTAATCACAAACGATACTTATTTTGTGGTTCAGTCTGGCACCACTCTACACGCATTATGTATATTTTTCTATTCTTACAGGGTGTTAATTAAAATGCGTGCTATAGCTTCAGGGTAGGTTTAGTATCGATATAGGAAGCCGTAAAAAATATTGAAAAAAATCCCAGTCACAATACTTTGCTGATATTTGATTCAAATGCCTATATCTCAGCTGAAATTCGTTCAATCTAAAAGTTGTTTAGACTAAAAGTACTGGGCACTCTCTAAACAACAACAGCGTCAAAAATTTATTAAATAAAAAAGATTTGACTAAATCATTTTATTTTGACCGGATTTTTTTTCCAATATTTTTTGGCATCCTTAATCGATACTTAACCTACCCTGACCCTGAAGCTATGGCACACATTTAAATTAACACACTCACACAACATCAAAATATCTCTGGTAGAAGGTTCAATCAGGAAATTTAAAATTCAAGACTTCTAGTTCTGCCTACCATGTAAGGGATGAAGGCGCGATATATGTGTGTGCTTGTGTGATTAAAGATATTTTAATGTTGGCTATGGCTATCATTGTTTTAAGGCTAGCATTTTGTAAATGTAAACAGCTTGGTTTCCAACTAACATAAGTTTATTCTAGTCATATACATAAGTACATAATTATAACTAGAAAACCAATTTCATTTGTAAATGTTTAACACTTATATATAGTGCTATATTCTTCCTATAAGTAAATATAGAAACAAAAATTTTCACAGGAGCGAATTGTTGCTAAAAGAGTTCTATTTACTCTCATTGACGCAAAAAACGTTTTCAAATTCCGCTCCTTTACAAATTTTGGCCTCTATATTTTCTTGAATAACATTAATAAATAATAGTAACACTAACATATTCGCTTTCATTAGCAAAAATAACCTAATGCAATCTTACTGACCTTACAGTTTTGGTGCAAAATGTCATACTATCTTTTTCAATGAATAGGTCAAACGCCATAGTTGCAGTACGTCATATAACTTGGGTTAGAATTAGCCAGTTGTCTTTACAAGAAATTATGGTATTTTGCACTTGAGCGTGCTATACTAATTAAATCTAACAGTGTTGTCTTACGTTTTAAACCGGCGAAAAAAAAACAACGAAGATGGTTCTCAATTCATTGCGAACTACAACTAAACATGCAAACATACTTCATTCATTAATTCACTTTACTTCTTTTACTAACTCAATGGTACATATGCACTCACTGGCAAAAAGGAACTTATTCTTAAGTTTATTTTTAGTTTAGTCAATATACGGGACGTAAGGGGATAGCTCTTCTAATACTGAAAGCATGAAACTGAACATTGAACAACTTTTCCCAATGATAAGTTTCAGGTAACATAATCAATTTTTTTCAGTATCATCGTGGTGGTATACATGAAACCTGTCAGTATTCAAAGGGTTGTCCCTTACACCCTGTATAGTTTCGCCGAAGTGCCTACTAAAAAATTGTTTTATATAAGCTTAACAGTAGGGGCAGGTATTCATTGAGGACAAAATCCCCGTTTTTTTTAATCAGACACAGTGTTTCTGATTCAAAGTATCCAATGAAGAAGCACCCTCTCGTTGGGTACCTATACATATAAATGCGTCTGTCTGCATCGGGAAAATTTATTGGGAAACTTTTGTATCTGATACAATGCTCCGGAACTTTGTTAACAATGAATGCCCGTCTAATAGACAACTCAAAATTAACGCTGGAAAATGACTGACCACGGCAGCACGTTCAATCTCGTCAAACTGTACTTCTTGGAAAACTTTTTCAACGACGTAATCTTTATGGGCAATGGTTCTATCTTCTCTTTCTCGCCTCCCAGTTTCCGCTTCAACCAGGACAGAGACAGAATATCTGCAGTAGGTTTAAGGCCTGTCTCTTCGGCTATTATGGTCTGGTAAATGTAGTCTATAGGCTTAGTGCAGACTATGTAGGAATAAACGCGATCGTTACTCCGTTTGAGTGCCTCCATCTTGCTGAACACGGTCGCCCAGTTCAGGTTACTGTCTAAGATTTGCACGTTCGCCAATACCTGCAAGAATTGACATTAGGTAATTATGACTGGAAACTTTTCACAGGTCTTTATATCCCGCTGCATCACATCAGACCATGGCAGTCCGCTGCTGGAGGTAGGCATCTCCCAGGGCACACCATTAGGCGCAATCTTCCGTTTTCGCCATTGCTACCAGACCTCTTTACGTCACCAGTTCATCTGACTGAAAGGGCGTCTAACGCTTCGCTACGCTTGGATACTGATGCGGAAGCTTAAAAATTTTTGCTTACATCTGTCGCATCATTGATATGACGTTGAACTCGTCTTTCGAATCCACCACCACCTGCATGCGTTGCGTCATATTCTGGCGTCACCTTTGCCACAATGCCTCAAGACTAAGGTATTCGAACAGTGCGTCATACCAGTCAAGACCTGGTCATGACGTACGGAGCCGAAACGAGGTACATGACAGTACAGCTGGTGCATCAGCTACGTCATTTGAGAGAGCTATGAAAAGGTCAGCTGGGGATCTCACTAATGGCAAGGCCCGGAATGAGATTATCCGCCAAAATACCAGGGTAACGGACATAGTCTGGAAGTGTAGCAAGCTGAAGTGGAAGTGAGCTGGTCACCATCTGTCGTAGGCCCTGATAGACGGTGGCGTAAGCGGGTTCTCGAGTGGAGGCCATGGCTCGGCAGCGTAGCGTTGGACGCCCTCCGGCCAGATGACTTAAAGCAAAAATATAAAGAGTGCAGCTGCTAGCGACTGGATGGCGAAAACGAGAGATCGTGCCTTGTGGCGTACCCTGGGTGAGGCCGATGTCCAGCTGTGTACTGCTATAGGCTGATGTGATGACGATCGTGTACCCGGTGCGTCTTAACCGCACCTACTACTATATCAAAATCAAAATCAATGTATTTATTTCTCAGTAGGAATTACAAGATTCTCTTTAAGAAAGTCACATTCTAATTCAAACTAAAAAAGAGAAAATGTGTAGTGTAAAATTGTAAAATTTTCTCTTTTTTACAACAATTTGTGTTCCTACTCTAAACGCGGCTCGGGCGGGATAAAGAAAATAAAAATAAAGGCACTGCCTCGGGGCTGGCCAGGCTAACCACACAGCATGTACCTATCCTATAGGGCTGTGTGTGAGATACAGCCCGGTGACAGACAGATAGAGGGACAGCGGAGTCTCAGCAATAGGGCTCCCATTATGGCTCCCTATGGGTACGCAAAAGCACTTACATCTGTCGTATCGTTGATGACGAAATGATCGAAATACTGGTCAAACATAACAGCAACATCGACTTCGTCTTTGAGATGCACCACCACCGTGTACCCGTGGCGGCCGTACCGCTCCTGCAGCTCGTCCATCTTGTCTATGTCGTAGATCCGGCCGTCGCGAATGATGCACAGCTGATTGGTCACCGGCATGTGGGATTCGATGCTGGAAGTCGTTTTGTTTATTATTGAGGGCCTTTGGCCAGCCAGCAGTGGGATCCTGACGGCTTCATGGGATAAAGGATAAGAAAGATGATTGAGGCGAACTGGAAAGGATTTCTAAGGATTGGCGTGTGTAGCCAGAACAGGATTGAGAAAGTAAGGAAGGACTAAGTGAAAGAAAGAATCAACAAGAGAAACGTAAGTCTGAAAATTTACCAGATGCAGAAGTTAGTAGGTATGTTATAAGGCAGGATATGCCTAAGGATGTCTTTGGGGCGCCCCCGCTGTCATCCTGCCTTGTGCCCTGTGATTCTGGGCTTGTCTGATTAGTAGCTTTTGTGCAGTAATGCGCGTAAGCAAGATATATTTTGGGTGATGTGATTGCGTGCTTACGAGAAGGCGGAATGCACTATCGAATGCCCGCGTTTCCTCATCAGGTTGATGATGAAGTACATGGACTTCTGCACCGGGAGCGTCTGGTAGGCGGTGCACTCGTCAAACACGAGGATCGGAGGGGCTCCAACCACCGCAGCAGCGAACCTCAGTCGGTACCGCTCGCACGGCGTCAGGTGGCAGATCTGCTTGTCCGCTTGCTTCTCGAGATCTGGCCACAAAACAGTAGGCTCTTGTTTATTCTAAACAAGGTTATTTTTTTACATTTTGCAGGTAGCTCTATGGTGAAAGTTTTTATATGAGGTTGTATGAGAAAGTTTTTGCAGGTTCTATATATGGTGAACATTTTTGTATGAGGTAGGCTTAGAAGGTAGTAGGCCACCTCTCCTTCATTTAAAGGCCTTTTTCGACCCATCGCCTCACCACGTTACCTGACAGCCTGGTTAGTATGATTGCCTGCCACGCAGAAGGTTCCGGGTTCAATTCCCGGTGGTATCACTCACAAAGTTTTAACCTAAATTAAAATTTCGAATTTTATGAACAGACCTGGTGGTCAGCAGGCACGCCGCGAAGAGTAGCCAGCATCTCCAGGCCGTCGTATACCGTCAACCAGTCGGGCAGCGACGCGTTGCGCCCACAGAAGCCAACTTGCATTTAGTTGGTGAACACAAAAGTTCGAGGTTGTCTACAATCTTTGAGATAAGCGATGAAACCACCTTGTCTCTATTTTATGGTGCGTTTCAATAATCATCAGCACAATCTCCATCTCTGCAGTGTCTCCAAAATATTACGTACTTCAATACACCAGTCACACTGCTGTGGAACAAAATACCGATAGCGCGAAAAGTACCTACTGGTTTGGTTGGTGGAGGTCACTAGCTCATTTTCTTCCCTAAGAGTTCGTCTTCTCATTGAGAGTAGCTTACTTTCTCCAGAAGGTTTTATAAGAAACTAACCTAATGCATCGATGAAGCTGTTGACTTCGATGATCCGGTGGTCAGCAGGCACGCCGCGAAGAGTAGCCAGCATCTCCAGCCCGTCGTATACCGTCAACCAGTCGGGCAGCGATGCGTTGCGCCCACAGAAGCCAACTTGCTTTGAGTTGGTGAATACAAAAGATCGAGGTTGTCTATAGTAAAAACGCGTTAGCTTGGCAATAGCGTACATTGACACGACCGGTACCAAAAACAACATTTTTGGGTGATAATTATCGCTCTCCATACAAACTATCGCTAGAATTCACATCGCTAAAGTATCATAATACCGGCCAATTCCGGGTATTCCCCCGGCACAACCCGGCGTCATTCCACAACCATGTATATCCAAAATTTTCAAAAATGAGTGTACTTGTAGCCAATTCGAAAAGTTGTTATTTTAACTATTACTTTTATATGTCGATAATTTTTGCAAACTTTTGAAATGAGTTCAATTCTATAACATACGTTTTAAAATATTGCCCAAATTTATTCTCTAATAAAGGTATAATACCGTAAAATAAAAAATATTCTGGGTTGCAATTATAATTTTAGCAAATAGGAAGCCAAAAAGCTTTACAAAATACATTTTACCATAAATAAATATAAAGCAAAATTGTTGACACTAAAACAAAAATTTTTGAGTTACATTGTTTTGTAATGAGCCCCTAGCTGGCCAGAGGATGCCAGAGGTGCGGTCCCGTAGGCTCGCATTTGTTTTTATTTTGATCGATCGTCGTCTCATTCCGTTCTGAAGTGCGTTTGCGTTCGTTCACGTTTGGAAGTCTTTCTTGCTGTTTTTTGGTGTTTTGGTTATTGATTGTTTGATCAGTTCATTTTTGTTACATTACTTGTTAGTCATCGGGGAAATTAAATCTGCCCGACTTCGCTGGTTTGGACATGTCGAGAGAATGGGGAGGATCTTGCGGCCAAGAGAGCATACCTGGGTCAACTACATGGACAACGTCCAGTTGGGCGTCCTAAGTATCGCTGGATTGACGAAGTCCAAAAAGACCTGGGAGCGCTTCAAATGGCCGATTGGCGACAAGCAGCTCAGAACAGGGAAGAATAGGGAAACCTAGTGTCGGAGGCCAAGATCCACTTTGTGTCGTTGAGCCAGCGAAGTAAGTATAGTCGAATTTTTAATTCTATTCAGTAAAATGACAGATGCCGACAACATAATGATACCAACTGCATATCACTGGTGACGTACTTCAGTTCGATTTTTAAGTTCAGGTGAGCTGATTCATTCAAACCTCATACTCAGGTCACTTACATTTATTTATTGATTTCCTACAAGAATTTTATACTCCTAATATAAAAAAAATTAAAAAGTGTGTCACTTAGTACCTACGGGAGACCCAATTCATTTATTTTCATATTTTCAAGAAAAGTTTCTAATAAATGTTATTCAGTTTTGTGAGAAAAACACGTTCTTAAAATTATTGAACTTATATTGTAACCAAATACACTTATTGATTTAATAACTATGAACTATGTCACTAGATGAGTGATTTAATTTAATCTTTTTAGCACATCACAACTTATTTTTTCCAAAAAAGCGGCCACGCACCAAACGTCAAATCAGTAAATACAATTAGAAATTCGACTATAGTAAGTACTTGTTAGCCAGTCACGTTTTGTTATTTTTATTTGTTAAGTTTTGTTGTGTGGAGTGTAGTGGCGATGGAGCCACCACCTAGTCCTACGACTATACTACGACTGCTGTTAATAAACCTATGGTCAAAATATTTAATTCCTTTTATTTCACTTTATAGACCATACTGAAACATACACTATTAATACCCAGATCTGAAAACAGATATTCAAACTCATCATTCAAATAGCTGCCCCGGCCGGGAATTTTACCCGGACCCGGAGCTGTACAGTGTACCTATTTTAATTCTATGAGATAACATAATTATCTCATAGAATTAAAATACAAAACATCAATCAGAATTACGTTAAAAATAGGGTTATAACTGAAAATGTCTATTACCCCTGCAATAATCCAGAGTGACCTTGCTATTGTACTACTGTACTCTAGCGATGTTCATATCGCATACATTTACTAAGAAAAACGATATATCGCTATCGCAAATATTGAGTACAGTGGTAGAAAAGGCCAACGTCCGCTATTGCCAAGCTAACGCGTTTTTACTATACAATCTTTGAGATATGCGATGAGGCCACCTTGTCTCTATTTTATGGTGCGTTTCATCAATCATCAGCACAATCTCCATCTCCCCAGTGTCCCCAAAACATTTACAAAAAGTAGGGGAAACTGGGGACACTTGATCCCTGTGGGAGACATGGTATTTTTAATTTCCAGAAATTCTACCACAGCTATGTTTATTAATGCTAGAAAAACTTTTTGTCTACGGTTTGGGAAAACTTTTTGTCACAGTCGGATGTGTCTACTATTTCATGTTTCAAAGTGACAGGTCTTTATATATTCTATGGCACCGCAAGATCATTTTGGCGAGTATTTGCAGGCTTTTATTTATTACAAATAAATGAAGAATTGCAAGAGAAACAGTTACATTATTAAGGATATTTCATTAGCAGTGAGCTTTGATTGAAGAATAACGTTTATATTATGTAAAAAAAAATCTTTTGTTCTAAAGTATAAATTATTCCTGACCGGGAGACTTGGTACATTTTTTCAAGGGATACTTGATTCTAGGATCAAGTCTCCCTTACGGGGATCAGTTAGTAAGAAAATTGTAATCAGGACTGATTGATTAAATATCGTGTATATTCAGGCTGTGTGGAACATTGTTAAATAATATTTTAATTGGATAGCATTATATCACTAATGTATTTTTCCTGTGGGAGACATGATCCATGACTGTTATAAAAGTTAAATTTTTGTATCGTTATATTATCGATTATAAACGGCTATTCGTTACATTAGGTGTATTTGTAAATTTTTAGATTACATTTAGGAGAGAAAACAGAACTAAACTTTATAAAATAGCTATTTACTTATACGTAATGTCCCACGTGTCCCTGACTATGGAACACATGATCCTCACATATTTAATAAACAAAACCATGTCTCCCATACTATGGGAGACTTGATCCAGGGCGGATCAAGTCATCCAACTAGGTGGATCATTTCTCCCTTATATACGGGACACATGGTGCAAACCTGTTTTATCAGTTTTCTTTAAATAACTTTTACAACTATGGTATAATCCTAACTACACATACACAAATGGTAGGTGGTTAAATTATGCATCGTTTAGTGTAAACACGGGTTACATATGTTAAGAAATGTACACATGAGATCACAAAATCAAAGTGGGGGATCAAGTGTCCCCAGTCTCCCCTACTGGTTTGGTTGGTAGAGGTCACGAGCTCATATTCTTTCCTAAGAGTTCGTCTTCTAATTGAGAGTAGCTTACTTTCTCCAGAAGGTTTTATAAGAGACTAACCTAAGGCGTCGATGAAGCTGTTGACTTCGATGATCCGGTGGTCAGCAGGCACGCCGCGAAGAGTAGCCAGCATCTCCAGGCCGTCGTATACCGTCAACCAGTCGGGCAGCGATGCGTTGCGCTCACAGAAGCCAACTTGCTTTGAGTTGGTGAATACAAAGATCGAGGTTGTCTACCAATCTTTGATATATGCGATGAGACCACCTATTTTATGGTGCGTTTCATCAATCATCAGCACAATCTCTATCTCCCCAGTGTCACCAAAACATTACGTACGTCAATACACCAGTCATCCTGCTATGGAACAAAATACCGATAGCGCGAAAAGTACTGGTTTGGTTGGTGGAGGTCACGAGCTCATTTTCTTCCCTAAGAGTTCGTCTTCTAATTGAGAGCAGCTTACTTTCTCCAGAAGGTTTTAAAAGAAACTAACCTAAGGCGTCGATGAAGCTGTTGACTTCGATGATCCGGTGGTCAGCAGGCACGCCGCGAAGAGTAGCCAGCATCTCCAGGCCATCGTATACCGTCAACCAGTCGGGCAGCGATGCGTTGCGCCCACAGAAGCCAACTTGCTTTGAGTTGGTGAATACAAAAGTTCGAGGTTGTCTACAATCTTTGATATTTGCGATAAGACCACCTGGTCTCTATTTTATGGTGCATTTCATCAATCATCAGCACAATCTCCATCTCTTCAGTGTCCCCAAAACATTTACACCAGTCACAATGCTATGGAACAAAATACCGATAGCGCGGAAAGCCGGAAAGTACCTAGGTAGGTACTTGTTTGGTTGGTGGAGGTCACGAGTTCATTTTCTTTCCTAAGAGTTCGTCTTCTAATTGAGAGTAGCTTAGGTACTTTCTCCAGAGGGTTTTATAAGAGACTAACCTAAGGCGTCGATGAAGCTGTTGACTTCGATGATCCGGTGGTCAGCAGGCACGCCGCGAAGAGTAGCCAGCATCTCCAGGCCGTCGTATACCGTCAACCAGTCGGGCAGCGATGCGTTGCGCCCACAGAAGCCAACTTGCCTTGCGTACTGTGCCACAAAAGGTTGATCAAGCCTATTCATCGAATCAAGAAGAAAAG